CCTCTAAATCATATTGCACTAAACCCTAAACCCTAAACCCCAAAACCCCAAAACCCCAAAACCCCAAAACCCCTGAACCCCTAGACCCCTAACCCCCTAAACCCCTAAACCCCGAAACCCGAGGACGAAATCCCACCCAAAGCCCTTCTGAAACTCGGCCTCTGGGGCGGCAGCGGGCTCCTCCTGTCACTTTTCCCATGCCCCGAAGACCCGAGGTGCGGAAGACTGAACTAACATCACTTGTTCGGGTTTAGGGTATAGGGTTTAGGGCTTAGGGTTTAGGGTTTAGGACTTAGAGTTTAGGGGTTTAGGGTTTAGGGTTTGGGGTTTAGGGTTTAGGGTAACTATGTCAATAGAAGAACATTTTACTAAACAGTAATGACAATGAGAATAATCATGATGATTATGATGATGATGACGGTGATGATGATGATGATGATGATGATGATATTAACAAGATGTACCCGTATAACAATCACCCTACAAACCTTGCAGCCGAAACCCGAAGCGTATGGTTTGGGGCTGCGGGCCTAGGGGTTCAAGGGTGACCTACGTCTCTTGGATTTAAGGATCTTCATGGGTAGTTCTTGAAATTAGGGTCCAATTTCTTTGATCTCAAAGATGGTACGGCACCCTTATAAGAAGGACCTGAAAAGGGATCCTAACTTAGAGAACTACATTCATGACTCCGGATGTCAAGCCTCGGCTGGCCTGGGTAGCTCCCTCAGCGTTTGCGGTTTTTTCTCCCTAAGCCCCAACGCCGCAAACTCTATAACTTTGCACCCTTTCCCCAGGCCCTGAAGCCCAAAACTCCAAAACTTTTCCACCCAACACCAACACATCTCAAGCCCCAAAGCCCGGAACCTCCACACCATGAGCCCCGAAAGCCCTGCACCGAAGTAGCCTGAACTAGTACAAATAGACTTCCTTCGTGGTCCTGATTAAGATATTGGGCAATAATTTACTCCTACTCTACTTGCCATTGTCAAGGCGAAGCATTAAGGCCCCTATTAGGGGCCCAGAAAGGCACCTGGACACACACCATAAGGTTGGGATATCCCGATATACCTCTGTACACATAGGCCCCATAGTAGTTCCTTTTTGGGGTTACCTTATAGGATTCTATATATGGACCCCAAAAAGGAACTACTATGGGGCCCATGGGTAGGCCAACACAGTAAAGAGATCCTGCCCCAAAATATATGTTTGAGTTTTTTGGTTCAGACACGATATATGAAGCCCTATAATATTGGTACTCAGCAAATGATTTTGTCATTCCTGGGGTTCCTTATGGTACGTATGCTATGCTATACAGGAGCCCAAAACCTCGTTCTGGTTATTCAGGCACTTACCCTAAACCCTTAAACCCCTAAACCCTAAACCCCCAAAACCCCAAAACCCTAAACTCCCCCTAAACCCTAAACCCTAACCCCCCTAATCCCCAAACATTCACCGACAACCCGGGGGAACCTCCTCCTCGGAGGGCAGCGGCGTGCCAGGATCGAGGATGGCCTGAGGAGAACTTGGCGAAGCCCACAGGCTTAAAGGAAACTACAGGTGGGGAGTTTAGGGCTCCTTTAAAAGGGGCTTAGGGTTTAGAGTTCCTTTAAGGGTTTAGGGTTTAGGGTACACGTGGGGAGTTTAGGGTTCCTTTAAAAAGGGGCTTAGGGTTTAGAGTTCCTTTCAGGGTTTAGGGTTTAGGGTACAGGTGGGGAGTTTAGGGTCTATAGGGCTTCTATAAGGCTTCCATAAGGTATATAGACCTTCTATAAGGCTCCGATAAGGGGGTTTCCAAAAACAGGGGACCCTAATATAGTACCCTAAATAATAGGTTCCTTATTATAAGGACCCCAAAATAAGGTACCCTAATTTTTGGAAACTCCGAT